GCTCATCAGCCAGGAGAGCTGTGGGAAAAGCGAGCCTCTTCTGGTATCTGAGAAGATAAATGTAAATGAAGAACTAGGAGTTGTTCAGGTGAGATTTCTTTTTCAGTATGGTTGCTTGTAGCTTTTTTTCATTTGTTTCCTTAATCATTTATCTGCCACATTCAAAATCGGTTAATTATGTAAATACTGAATCATTGTACATTTCATTTAGATATCGACTTAATTGGATGATGCTGTCTCCATTTGTTTTCAAGTTATATTTTGTGTTTAATATCTTTTTTCAGTACGTGGATTTCAAGACAGTCTAGTTGATATCCATAGGCTTAAAAGAAAGTAATCATAATCACTTTAGTCAAAATTTTCTTACACTAGAACTGTTACTGTGTTAATAGAGTTGTTTGATTAGTCCAAATTGTTAGATATAATGTTCTCTTTTGGATATTTGTGTGAACACCAATAGTGAATATGTTTTGGAAAGGATAGTATACAACACTGATATTTTAGTATACCTGCTGTTTGCATAAGGAAATAATTTAGACTATTTTAATAAGTCAATGGAAGACTATAGAAAACTTCAACATGGTAAAAAATCAGAAAAACAGATTAAATTTATAATTTGTGGCATTCTCAAGTCTGGGAATTTGGGGTTAACCCATGTAATTACTGTAATTACATGTATATTTGTTGAGATAAGAAATCAGTGAGAAGGAACCTTAAAACTGTACTTTATTTGGGGCACCTGGTGGCTCAGTCAGTTAAGTGTGGGACTTTTGATTTGCGCTCAGGTCATGGACCTTGGGGTCATGGGATCGAGTCCTGCGTGGGTCTCCTGGCTCAACAGGGAGTCTGCTTGAGATTTCTCTCTCTATCCTTCTGCTCCTCACACCCTCGCCCCCACAAGCTCTCTCTAAAAATAAATAAATCTTAAAAACTCCACTTTATTCTGTGATAGTTTAAAATCTCCAAAGAATTAGATTCTGCTATATTCATTAAATGCCCTACACCTGGCACTTCTGGTTAGAAATAACCTCTTCATTTTTCAAAATCAGTATCTACTTGAATGTTTGCATCTATGCATATGTCGGTACAATTCTGCTTTATTAGTAGAGTCTTAAGATTTGTACTTGGAAAATCAATTCAACATAAAAAATTGAAATTTTAAAATTCATTTCTCAGGGATAGTCTCTTCTTAAATGATTTTTCTTAATGAAATGCAGGTCTATGGATCTCAAATTCTTGAGTGTTTGTTGTGTAATGGAAGAACTGCCCTCTTCATTTTCACATCTGATTTTACTGAAGATGATTTTCAGATGTTTCTCCTTAAGATTTTTAATCTTTCAAATATTGTACTTTCAACAACCTCATCAGCTGCAAAGTGGACTAAATGGAAGAAATAGCAATAAAATACTATGGTGGGATGGTAGGCTACATTACCTGACCAAACAAGGGTTTGTTGTTAGATGTGGGAACCTATGAGCACCTGATTTTTGTTTTTTAAATAATTACTTCAAGGGAATCCAATATTTATATAATGAAGGAGATCCAGTTATATTTATATATGGATATATCTGATTGCAGTGTAAAATGTGCAGTTTCACTGAATAGTGAATGCATCCAAAGAGTAATGAGAATCTGTATGATGGAGACTGAGATTATTCCCTCCTACATGAAAACTCACTTTTCCATTATAATTTATAACAAATAGTTTTTTCATTACAGTTTAAAGAAAAGGTTATACATTTTGGATATGTGTCCTATGTTAACTTTTTCATGCAATGGAAAATACCTCTTAAACCTCTATAAACTTCAATAGACTTTAGGTAATAAAATGCTTGATATAACTCTCTGAGCATATATGCTATATATACTATATAATTGTTTGCATATTTGAATCTTTAGTTTCATATGTGCTCTGAAAAGATAACTCTCCTTCAAGTGTTCATAACATGCTGGAAAGACACTTCTTCAGTCATGTTTTGGAGCAAAGTCTTGAGTCTATGTTTTTTATGTTTGTATGAAGAAGATATATGGGTGAGTTTCTGTCTAGAATCCTGAATACAATGAATAGTTTAAGATGTCTAATGCTATTCCACTATGAGTTCAACATTGCTACCTACCTGCTAAGTTATAGAATTACGATGTCTTGTATAGGTTTAAAAAATTTCTTTATGAAGATTCTAGTTTAAAAATTGAATTAAAACAGTAAGGCCCCAGGACACCCAGGTGGCTCAGTCGGTTAAGCATCTGCCTTCAGCTCTGATCATGATCCCAGTCCTGTATCTGGTTCCATGCTCAGTGGGGCGTCTGCTTCTCCTTCTCTCTGCTCCTCCCCCTGTTTGTGTGCTCTGTGTCTGTTTCTCTCTGACAAATCAAATCTTTAAAAAAAAAAACACCCTGTAAGACACCTATCAGGAACATGAAAATTGACATGGAACGAATGTCAGTACAAAGAGTTAGGATGATCTGATCGTGATCTGGGGACAACATAGATTCTTTCTTTAGAATATATAATTATAAGGACTCATACTTCATTCCCAAATTTCAAATAGCTCACCATTGCTAAGTGACTTGAGAAGAAACAGTACAGTTAAAGACAATGGTAGTGTAGTGTGGAAAAAATAAAAATCGGTGGATAGTTTTAAAATCATGGTCAGTTAAACATAGACACTTGGAAACTAAGGAAAAGAGTTTCTTGCTTCTTCTTTTTTTTTTGAGAGTTTCTTGCTTCTTACTATACTTTTATTTTGTAAGGACAACCAATCTCTGCTTACCTGTCTAGTTTGGGGGTAATGTGGTAATGATAATATAGAAGGAAGTGAAACATAGGCTAAAACTAAAAGCTATGAGATTTGTAACGTTTGTAAGTTAGAAAAAAAGAAACAAGTGGAATAATCTTACTATCAAGCTGATATTTCAAGAATTTTCATATTACACTTTCTGCCCTCACCACCACCAGTACTTTCATTTGTGTCATTTTCTGCATATCATCTGGTCTTCAGTTTTACTAAGGAACACAGGGAAGAAGTTATTATGACCATTTTTTGAAAATGGAAACAAAAACCACGACGATGTCAGTAAACATCTTCAAGCAAGTTGCCTCTGCTCTTTGAAGAGTAAAACTCACTTGATTTAGATGGGTAAAGTTCAAATTCAAATAAAATGACCGCCAGATCGGAGATATAGTAAATATTTAAGATGTTAAAAATTCTTGTAAAATTGGAAGAATGAGTATCTGTATAAGGATACAGTAGAATTTTCTTTTAACCCACTCCTGATTTGGAGCTCATTAGTAACCACTATTGCAGTTCTGCAGCCGGGACGCGGGGTGCCGCTGTTGGCTAGTACTGAGCGTAGTATCAGCTTCTCCCGACGCAAAGCAATCGCCTCCCCACGGCTGAACCGCGGTAACTGGACACTCACTCTCTGGTTCTCTGCCGCCGAGATAACTGTCAGAGAGTCTGCCTGCCAAGACAAATCAAGGAGTTACTCCTGCTCAGAGAGTTCTTGGGATCATTTAGCGATCGTAGCTCTTCGGAATCAGAAAGGCAACGTCGCAGAAATTGTGATGGGAGACCGCTTGGGACAGAAGGGCCCGGCTGGGCGGAGACGAATGCCATTTCTCTTTTTGCTGTCTTTGTTCTGTCCGGTGCTCCCAGAGCAGGTCCGCTACACTATTCCCGAGGAGCTGGCCATGGGCTCACTGGTGGGGAACCTCGCCAAGGATCTGGGGATTGGCATACAAGATTTGCCTACCCGAAACCTGCGGATTAGTGCACAGAAGAAATTCTTTACAGTGAGTACTGAGAACGGGGACTTACTTGTGAGCGACCGTATAGACCGAGAGCAGATTTGTGGCAAGAAGTCAACGTGTGTTCTAGAATTCGAAATGGTCGCAGAAAAGCCTTTGAACTTCTTTCATATAAATGTGGTAATTCAGGATGTCAATGATAACCCACCGACCTTTAGCCAAAATATCACTGAACTGGAAATCAGTGAACTGGCCCTAACTGGAGCCACTTTCTCTCTGGAATCCGCTCAAGATTTAGATGTAGGTATCAATTCCCTGCAGCAGTACTACCTCAGCCCCAATCCGCACTTCTCTTTGATTCAGAAGGAGAACCCAGATGGCAGTAGGTACCCAGAACTGGTAGTAAAGACTCCCCTGGACAGGGAAGAGCAGTCCTGCCACCACCTGGTCCTCACCGCTGTGGATGGGGGGGACCCAGCAAGAAGCTGCACTACCCAGGTAAGGGTGGTTGTGGCAGATGCAAATGACAACCCACCAGTGTTCACCCAGGATGTGTATAGGGCCACTGTTCAAGAGAACCTGCCCATGGGCTCCTCTGTACTATGTGTGATGGCCACTGACTTGGATGAGGGGGTCAATGCTGAGATCACATATGCTTTCATCAACACTGGCAATGTAGTGAGACAGCTGTTCAAGCTGGACAGTAAAACAGGGGAACTCACCACTGGTGGAGAACTGGACTTTGAAGAGAGAGAGAGCTACACAATTGGGGTGGAAGCAAAGGATGGTGGACGACACACCGCACACTGTAAAATACAAATAGATATTTTGGATGAAAATGACAATGCTCCTGAGGTAACCTTGGATTCTGAATCTAAACATATTCAAGAAGATGCTGAGCTGGGGACTGTTCTTTCCCTGATCAAAACACGTGACCTGGATTCTGGATTTAATGGGGAAGTTTTCTGCCAACTAAAAGGAAAGTTCCCATTTAAGATAGTTCAAGATACACAAAATACATACAAGTTGGTCACAGATGGAGCCCTAGATCGAGAACAGACTCCAGAATACAATATCACCATCACAGTCACAGACAGGGGAAACCCGCCTCTCTCCTCCAACATAAGTGTCACCTTGAACATAATTGATGTCAACGACAACGCGCCAGTTTTCCAACAGCCTTTCTATTTGGTTCACATTGCCGAGAACAACCCTCCTGGAACCTCCATCGCTCAAGTCAGCGCCTTTGACCCGGATCTGGGGCCCAACGGTCGCGTCTCCTACTTCATCGTGGCCAGCGACCT